AGTTATGGTGGTGGAGAATAGTCTTGAGTGTACCATGGACTTTCAAGAAAACAAATAGGTCTGTCTTGGAGAGGGTGAAACCAAGTTTCTCGTTGGAGGCTAGGATTTTGAAGCTTTGTCTCACATATTTTGGGCACATGGCCAGGAGGGACCAGTCCTTGGGAAGGACATCATATTCAGAATGGTGGAGGGGACAGCAAAGGAGAGGAAGACCCCAGATGAGATGGTTTGATAAAGTAATTGGGACAGTGGTGGTTAGTGAGTGAAAATCAGTGTGACTGGCTCAGGACAGGGCAGGGTTCAGAGCTGCTGTACATAGGGTCACTGTGGGTCCCAGGTGACCCAATGGCACATAAGAACAACTGTTAGAAGACCATATCCTGTAGCTGAGCAAACAACTTTGGAACTTTGTTTTCTCCTCAGAACCCACCCTTAACAAGGACAGTGGAGAAGTTGGAAGACAAGCCTCTTAGAATAAATACTGGGCTGGCAGGAGTAAGGTATGAAGATGCTTCTAATGGGCTTCCGCTTACTTTCACTGATACACTTGAGTACATGAGAGACATTTCCTTCTTTACATCACTTTAATTTTAAACAGCTCCCAACAATCTCAAATAGGCTGATTCAAGCATATGGCAAACTTGTAGTTTCCTTACTTACAATAGATACACAAACTGAAATTTGGCTTTCTAGAAAACCATCTAAGTACTTATCCTTTCTTTGATTATAAAACAGTTTGAAAGTTCGTAAGACCATGAAAAGTAAAATGCATGGGGAATTTATTGCTGTTTTTAAAAAGTACTTGGTTGGGCCAGTTACTTTTTATCTCCTAATGGCACGCTTTGTTGCTGGTCCCTGGCTTCCTGTGTATCTATACCCTAAGCAATATAACTATATTCCTCTTCTAAACAAGGTTCTCAGAGGCTGAAACATATGTGAACCAAATTAGGTCTTAGGATTCCCCTTGGAAGGTTTTGGGGGGGGGAAATCTCACATCCATGGGAAAGAGTAAGGGCAGTCCTTTGCTTTTTAAAAAGAAATGGTAAGTAGAATCATGTTACATCTATTCTTCTGTGGCTTGCTTTTTTCATACAAGATTATTTTTGAGAGTCATTCATTTTGATGTAAATAGTTGTACTTTGTTTTCACTACTGTATTGAGCAACTACCTATTGAGTAACTGTCTATTGCATAACTCCCATCAGCACCACTTGCTTTTGAGTGAATTCCAACTTGTAATGACTCCATGTGTGTTGGAGTAGAACTGACTGAGTGCCATGTGGTTTTTAAGGACTGATTTTTTCAGCAGTAGATCACCAAACTTTTCTTTTTACTACTCCTCTGAGTGCACTTGAATTTGCAGCCCTTTGGTTACTATCAAGTGCTTTATAACAGCTTTATCTATCTACTTAATAAATCTATTTGTGGACATTGGGAATTTTTAATATTTTTTCTATTATGAACAGTTTCAATAACATTCTAACTGATGTCCTGTTGTGAGAATTCATCTCTCTGTGTGTATGTACTGAATAGTAGAATTACGAGTGCATAAGATATGCACAGGGAGTAATCCAGAGAGTATGCTGTTGTGCTGCCGAACCAAAGGCAAGTGGTTCAAGTCTGCCAGCTGCATCTCTTACTAGGTTATTTACAGCCTATGAAAACCTGCTGGAGGGTCATCTGTGAGAGACAAAGAAGATGTGCACATTTCAGCAGGAGGAGCATTCTTAATTTCTCTGTATTCATATTAACACTTAGTATGATTCAACTTAAAATCTTGACCAACCTCGTGGATGTGTGCATAATAATTTGAACATATATGTCTCTGAATATTAATGAGGTCAAACATCTTATGTTAAGAACTTGGACTTTTTCTTCTGTGAAATGCATATTCACTTCTGTTTCCCTCTTTTCAAATGGCTGTCTGTATTTTCCTTTTTTATTCATCTTCTTTCATAGTGGGTTACATGTGGGCTGCTAACTGAATTGTCAGTGGTTTGAATTCATTAGTTACTCCATAGAAGAAGGAGGATGCATTCTACTTCCGTTAATCTTTACAGCCTTCGAAACCCTGGAGGGTCGCCATGAGTCAGAATCAACTCAGTGGTAGTGGACTTGAGTTTTTGGTTTTTCATTATTGGTTACTGTCAAGTTTATTCCACCTTTCTGTGGACTTCATTGAAAGCTGGTCAACTTTCTCTGCACTGAGACCAAAAGCATTGAATGATGCCCAGCTAGAAAGATAAGGATAGAGCAGGAGGAAAATGTGGACAACTCAAAAATCACACAATTGGCCAGGCTTTCTGATCTGACAGAGACTGATGGAACCCCTGAGTATTCCTTTGTGCCTGGAACTAACATCTCTGTGGCTCAGCTTTTAGCCAAGTCATAGACATGTTTACAAGGTGAGTAATAACAATGGAGATACTTGAGCCTTAGGACAATAAATCAGACAAGATTAAAAGAGTAGCATTTAATGACTTTTCCTTTGTAGGTGACTGGTTTTTTTTTCCATTCTGCTTTTAATACTCTGTCCAGTCCAAATGTCCAGTCACAGCTGAATGAAGTGAGAAATTGTGGTACATTCGCACAATGGAATACTGTGCAGCACTCAGGAGCAATGATTTCAGAAAATACTGCAGAACAGGGGAATGAGTGGAGAGCATTATGCTGAGTGAGCTGAGTCTCATAAGGACAAATACTGCACAAGACCATTACTGTAAAAGTGAAGGATAACTAGTAAAACATGTGTGGGTACCCAAAGGGGAAAGGGATGGGAGTAAAAGTGTGAGGATGGATAGGGTCAAAATCACAGAGTTGCACAATTTGGTGGGTGGAGGGAGAGGGTAAAGGAAATGGGAAAGGCAGGGACCTGTAAAGACAAGGTAATGACACTGTGACACTGACGTGCCAAACGTGGTAATGGTTATTCGTGGTGGACAGTGTTTGCTGGAGTTTCCTAACTAAAACAAGCCTGGAAGCAGGAGTGGCATCCACTTCCAAAATGGCTTGCCTCTGGAAACTCTATGTATGAACAGTGCTCAGGCCTTTTGTTCGTAGGGTCGCTATGAGTTGTCTACAACTCGACGGCACCTAACAACAGCAACAACAACAACAATGATAGGTATAGTCCTTTGGTGATTAATTTTATAAAACATAATGCTTGGGAAGGGAGCTCTGGTGGCCTAGTGGCAAGAAGCTACGCTGCAATCCTGAAGGCACACAGTTCAAGGCCACCAGCTACTCCATGGGAGAAGGATAGACAGTCTTCTATGCTAGTAACTGCCTCCTAAAACCCACTAGAGAGACAGCTGTGGGTTGGTTCTGACTCTATGGTATACAACAATAACAACAATGCATGGGAATGACTGTATGAAACACAAAGTGAATGAAGAATAGTGTGAAACACTATATCAACTTTGTAAGCAAATCAATATAATATTTATGTATTTAATTTAATTTAATTTAATTATTTATTTATTTTAAAGCAGCATTTGCCCAAGAAGAAAGGTCAGAAGGCTGATCGTGTGGCGTGGCTAGACCACTGAGGTTCAAGCCTGCAGGCAATGCCACCAGGATTGTGAGAGGTGGGAGGGCTGCTGGATTTATCCAGATAGAGGGAGTGCCAGGCCTTTGTGGATGGGGGGTGCTGGGTATATGTGGATGGGGTATGTGCAGGGATGCCAGGTCTGTGGAATTAAGGACAGGAGGTGCTGCCAGTCTGGGGAATTCAGCAGGAGTGGCACCCACTTCCTAAATAACATGCCTCCCGAAACTCTATGAACTTTGATAAATGTCTGTAGTTGTAGAGGGGCTTCAGGCCTTTTGTTCATAGGATTACTATGAGTCATGCTTGACTTGAAAGCACTCAGAATAGAGGAGGCATCTCCTCCTGTACCAGTCAGATCTGATTTGACGGTACACGCACACACACACAAAAATACTAAAAAAAAAAGAATAGAGGAGGCACAGATTTGGGGGAGAGGAGAATTTCTTTAGGGTATATTTTGGAGTTTAAAATTTCTGTGGGATATTTAGGTAGCGATATCTCTGCAAGTTAGCTGTACAGATCTGAGCCTCAGATCGTGCATGTTAAACTTCGCTTGTTCTGTAAGAATTCTGTGTGATGGATCTTTCAGGAAATTTTAGTTATAAAGTGTATGGTAACTCTCAAGTTAATTTGGTCTTGTCCTACTCCAACTTTGATTCTGCTCCATAGATTCTCACATCTAATTGACATTTGAAATAAACATCAGTCAGATCACACCAGACACTTCATCATGGTTGCAATTACTTTATTATGGTTTTGGTCTCTCAAGAGCCAGATATAATCTTTTTTTAGTATTTTTTCTCAGGTAAGTACAACATTTTTATTTTGAAAAACCATTCATAACACATTTGTCTCATTATGCATTCACATGTATATATAGTTACACAGGTTAGTCCTTGAACACTGAAAAAATATGAAAAATGTATGCATTTAAAAATTCTGCTATATCGTGTGGTTTTGCATTAAATGGCATTTACACATATATTTACAGGCAGTTTTATATTTAGAATTGTATATATACATCCAGTTAGAGAATACGAACCCCTGAGAGAAAGCCCTTAGAATTAAGGCCTTTTGTAAAGAAGCAGATTGCATACCTTTTCACCACTAGAGATTCTGAAAACTCACTAAGACCAGAGGCTGAAAAAGAATTTTTAAATAGATATGCTAGGTGAGAAAGTAGAGCTAGGATTTGGTCCATTCATTGAACATGTAGCATCTTGGCATAGCATCCAGTCTGTTGCCAGAGAAGAGCTATTATTCAAACAGCTCAGGACAGTGACCTATCCAGCCACCTAAAGCAGTACTAGTAGTAGTAGCTAATCTGGTGACTGGTTAGTCACCTTCTCAGAAAACTGTAAGCCAGGGACCCTTAGATCTTGACATCCACCCTCCATCGCGAAGTAATCACAGAGGCATCGACTAGGCCATCCTTATCAGCAATTCTGTGATCATGCTTCTCCTGGTTTCTTGGGAGACCTTTTAGACCTGCCAACAGAGAAAGGGGGTGTCAAAGTGAGAACCTTTCACCTACGGCTTCAGTCTGAGTTCTTTGTAACATTCATAGATAGGTACATTCAAAGATAATCTAAACAGTCTCAGGTAAGGATATGATGAGCTTTTCTGCTGTTATGTGGCCATCATAGACTTTAGGGACTGCCTTTTTGGGGGGACCAGGAAAAACTTGGGGGAATTTGGAAACTATTCTTGGATAGTTCCGTTTCTGTCTTCATGCTGAAGTGATTATCAGCACTTCCAGCCAGTCGTTAGGGCAATTTCAGTTTTAGAAAGAAATGGAGGCAAAGAAGATGGTAACACATTTCAACTGAGGATCCCACAGCAAAACCAATGCAAAGATTTCTGACTTCCCAAGATTGCAGTTCTGCCAGCAACAGTAAGCCTACCTTTCTTTGCTGATGGCTTTCAGTATATTCTTGACATTCTTAGAGTCTGGATTAAGACATCTCTTTTCCCCACTTTTTTTCATTGTGACACTATATAAGTAAATAAAAGTGAAAAAATATTTAAAATAAGAGTAAACCAGTAAAACAGATAAAATATATAATTCAGAACTCAGAAGTTGAGCACAACATTTTCTTTTTGTTGTATAGAGATCTTAGAATTATCACAAACTCTTTAATCATTTTTTAAAGCATCTTTTGTGATCATCACATACTTGGTATTTTATTACAGCCATAGAGGTAATCATTGGGGGATTTTACTCACATGATCTCAGTTTTTGAGCAGTTTACATTTGCGGGAATCATTTCAAGTTTTTCTAAAGACTTTGGATTAACAGGCCGATCATAAATTTTGATGCAGGAGCAGCGTATATTTCTAGAGAAAGGCATTCCTGTAGGGAAAGAGATAGAAACAGTAGTAGAGATTAGCACAGGATTTCATTTTAAGTATTTAATCTGGACATAGGTATTTAGTAGTACCTATATCCCCATGTCATTGCAAAGGCTTTTAATATGAGACAGGATAGTACCCCATTATTTGGAGCATCCAGCTCCAAATAACTAATAAGCCGATTATTTGTAAGAGTAGAATTTTGACTTGTTGATTGTAAAAGCATATCTTCAAATTCATTTGAGTACATGAATATTTAAACTGAGATATCTATGGGGTACTATCTGTGTCACTTACTCTCCTCATTTCTTTGTCCTTTGTTTTCCCTTTCTCGTCTTCTGTTTTCCTTTCCTTCTTTCTTCTCTTTCCCCTTTTATTCTACTTACCCCTTTGACTTTAATCATTCATGTACACTGGGGCAAAAGGAAATCTCTTCTCATTTTCCTCATTTGTAGTCAGACTCAAACTTGGAAATACTCTTTATATATTTACAGAATTCATACTCAGTCCTATTTCTGATTTTATAAATTCAGTAGCTCTTGATGTCCCTTACCTTGAGTCCCACTCAGAGTCAGGAAGATAAGGCAGAAAAGAAGAATGGTGGTGTGGTCCATGGTGCTAAGACTGAAGGTTCCTCTGTGGTGAGCTCAGAATGGGAGAGCAGCTGAAGTGTGCCTCAGAAAACGTGGAGTTAGGCTACAGCTTTTATCTGCAGAGGAATTTTCCCTCCCTAAATCTGATTGGATAATATTTCAGCGGACTTAGCAAAAATTTCTATTTGATCCTTGGGGAAGTCCCATGTTGCAGAATTGAAAGTATTATTTGTGTTTATTGTGGCATTCTAGTTATGGAATCTCCCTCCACCTCCCTTTATTCAATGGGAGTGAGTTAGGTTTCACTTTCCAAAACCTTAATTGTTTCCTGAAAACCAAGTATTTATTGTACATAGAAATAATTTTTATAAATTGAGCTTTGATTCCCCATTTTCCATCCCTTGCAAAATAAAAATACTAACTTAAATCCTCAAGTCAGAGTCCTAAATAGTTTTTAAATGTATGTGCCTTACCATTATGCATTTATTTTAACTTATTTCAGTGAAACATAAGTAGGAATAACTTGAAACTTAATTTACTTTATGGGTTTCAGAAGTGTTATATACTTTCATAATTGACCCCACAGTAACTCTGTGAAGAAAATGAGAAAACTGTTATTAACTTTATTTTACAGATAGGAGTATAATCTTAGATGTTACATTATGGGTTTAGGTCTCAAAAAGTTACAGTCCATTCTCACTCTGATGGATTTTGCTCCCAGTATTTGTTTTAAGTATTTATAATTACTTTCAAAGGTTAAGCACTTTCATTTGAATATTGCTGTTGTTAGGAGACCTGGAGTCAGCTCTGAGTCATAGCCCCCCTGTGTACAGCAGATTGAACCCTTGCTCAGTTTCATGCCATCCTCATGATCTCTGGCATGCTTAAGCCCATTGTGGCAGCCTCTTTGTAGTCTTGTTAAGGGTCGTCGTCTTCTCTCACTCCCCATCTTTCTCAGTATGACTTCCCTTTCTAAGGACTGGTTGTTTCAGACAGCATACCAAAGAATGTGAGATGAATTCTCACCATCCTTGCCTCTGAGGAACACCTTTTCTCACTTCTTCCAAGTCACATATATCCTTTTCTTCATTATCTAGTGAGGCTATGATATGTATGACAGGTTAATGATTTTCACAGACAAAAACACTCTCTCATGGTTTAGGAAGCTAGAAATAAATCTCCATTTATTTCTAGTCTTAGAGGAAGACTTTTCTTCTGTGTCAGCTCTGGAGAAAGGTCCACTTTTACATTCTGGGCCTGGTATCCAAAGGATTTGCTGCACTTACAACTTTTCTTTCTTGGTATTGAGGTTCATTTCTATTTTGTTTACTTCTTTCTTCTCTTGTCTCTTATAAGATAAAAGGTGATAGAGGCCACACCTTAAGGAAGCTATGCTTACATTGGATAAGGATTTGACCTGAATAAGAGTGGTGCATCTCATCCTAATCCTGCCTCATTAGCACATAGTTGTTGTGTGCCCTTAAGTTGGAAAAGACTCATAGCTGACCCTCCATTGAGTTTTCAGAGGCAGTAAATAGCCTGGGAGGAGATTGCCCATCCTTCTTCCATAGAGCAACTGATGGATTTGAACCATGTAACTTAGGGATTGCAGCATATTTTCTTACCACTAGGCCACCAGAACAGTCAGAATTTATAGCTTATCACAAATGGAAGATAATTGCATCAGACAGAGCATGTCTTGGAAAATAATTCTTTCACAATAAAAGTTTGACTTTTACTTAGTGCTGCAATAATAGAGATAACACAAATGGTTATCCTTAACCAACAGAATTTTTTCCTCTCTTGCCATTTAGGAGACTACAAGTACAAATTCATAGTGCTAGCTCTAGGGAGGCTGTCTCTCTCTGTTAGTTCTAGAGGAAGGTCTTTGCTTCTATTCTCTTCTTCAGGCCTGAGATTTATATGTCTGAGACTTCTCTGGTGTCAAGGGGCTCCCTCAGAGACCAAATCCAGAAGGTCACATTCAACTGGCAGTTCTTTCTCCATGATACGTGGTGGTCCCCTCTTCTGAACGAACATTTCTGCCTTTTTATCTCTACTGATATAAAAGGTGTTAATCCTTGACAGTTGTTCAACTCTAAGAATTCATTACCAAGTTTCCATATGATATCATTACATACATGTATTTTGGGGGACACACAATTCAGTCTATGATAATTGCTTAACTGCCAAAACACATTATTACAAAATCACAAAACCACTGAGAATCATAAACACATAACCACCAAACCTTGAGAATTGTAGGTTAATAACCACCAAACCACTGAGAATTGTGAATACATTATCATCAAATCCTGGGAATCATGGACACATAACCACCAAACCACTGAGAATCATGACCTAGACAAGTTGACACATATGCTTGGAGAATATTATTCAATCCATGACACTTAATAGCAGTTCTTCATTCTGTGTCAGTAAATTCAGTTTTTGGAAACAGCAAGTAATATCAGCAATGTTGTCACTCTGGAAACTAAGGTGCGCCTGATACAGGCCATCATCTTTGCAATCACTTGTTATGCATCAGAGAGTTGGAAAATGACTAGGGAGGATAAAAGGAGAATTGATGCCTTTGAGCTGTGGTGCTGTAGAAGAGTATTGAATGTACCATGGACTGGAGAGGGCTAAACCAGGCTCCTCCTTGGAGGCAAGGATTCTGAGGCTTCATCTAACATACTTTGTACATGTTGCAAGGAGAGACTGGTCCTTGGAAAGGGACATCATGCTTGGGAGAGTGGAGGGACAGCACAGGAGAGGAAGACCCTCTATGAGGAGAATTGATTCAGTGACTGGGATAATCGAGGTGGGTGTGTCAAAGACAGTGAGATTGGCACAGGACAGAGCAGGGTTTAGGGCTGTTATACATAGGGTCGCTATGAGTCACAGGTGACTCGACGGCACATAACAACAACAGCAACAACAAGTAATCAACTGAACAGTGGTATTACCATAATGTAATACAGTTGATACTTAAGGAAAGACACAGTTACATATATGAGTCACATTTATGAATCTGGCATGTTTAAAAGAATTCTAAAATTTTTTTTCATTATTAACATTGTTATTGACCAACTTCAAGGTAACTATTTTGAAGGAAAACACTAAACATGTGGCTGGCTGATTTCTGGGTGTAGATAAACAAGTCTCATAAAAGGCCAAAATGAATGTCTGAAGAGACTCTGAAAATTGTATTACAGTGTTGATAAGCCAAAACAAAGGGAAGAAATGCTGACATAAAAGAGCTGAACTGAAGATTTCAAAGGGCAGCTCAAAAAGACAAAACAAAGTATTATAATGGAATGTGCAAAGAGTTGAAGTATATAGGAGAGACTGAACTTGGCATTTCTCAAGGCGAAAGAACTGAAAAATAAATTTAAACCTCAAGTTGCAGAGAAATACTGTAGGCAAAATCTTGAATGATCCAGTCAGAAGAATATGGAAAGAACACATAGAGTCGTACCAAAAAGAATTTGTTGACCCGGAAAAATTTCTGGAAGTACCACATGAACAAGAGCCAATGATAATGAAGAACTTCCAGCTTCCCTGAAGGCACTGGTAAAAAATAAGGCCCCAGGTATGGATGGAATACCAATTAACATGTTTAAACTGACAGATGATGCCCTGGACATGGTCAGTCAGTGCCAGGGAATTTGGAGGACAGCTCCTTGGCCAACTGAAGAGATCCATATTCATTCCCATTCCCAAGAAAGATGATCCAACATAATGTGGAAATGATCAAATAATATCATTACTATTGCATGCAGGCAAAATATTGCTGAAGATTAAAAAAAATCATTAGTACATTACATTGACAAAGAACTTACAGAAGTTCAGGCTGAGTTTAGGGAGAGGTTGTGGCACCAAGGATATCAATACTGGTGTCATATGGATCCTGATTGAAGGCAGAATACCAGAAGAATGTGCACTAGTGTTTTATAGACTATGTAAAGGCGTTTGACTTTGGATCATAACAAACTATGGCTAGCATTGAGAAGAATGGGATCCTGAGAACACTCAGTTATGTTCATTGGAAGTCTATAGTTAGATCAAGAAGCTGTTGTCCAAACAGAGCTAGGGAACATTATGGTTTAAAATCAGGCAAAGTATGCTTCAGAGTTGTATCTGTTCTCTGTACCTATTCAGTCTCTATACTGAGCAAATCACTAGAGAATCTGGACTCTATGAAGAAGAATGTGGATCAGAGGAAGGCTAACCAACAACCTGTGTTACTCAGATAACACAACCTTGCTAAAAGTGAGGAGGACTTAAAATCCTTGCTGCAGAAGATCAAAGATTGCACCCTTCAATATGGATCATATCTCAACATCAAGAAAACAGAAATCCTCACCACTGGACCAATAAACATCATGATAGATGGTTGTTGTTGTTATGTGCCATCGAGTCGCTTGCGACTCATAGCGACCCTGTGTACAAGAGCTCTAAACGCTGTTCTATCCTGTGCCAACCTATCCATATCAAACGCACTTATTCCCACCGCTCCGGTCACAGAATCGATCCATCTCATCAAAGGTTTTCTTCTCCTTCACCGCCCCTCCACTCTGCCAAACATGATGTCCCTCTCCAAGGACCAGTTCCTGTCATGATAGATGGAGAAAAGATTTATTTTTCAACAATTTCATCTTAGTTGGATTCACAGTCAGCACCTTTGGTACCAGCAGTCAGGAGATCAGAAGACAGACTGCATTGTGAAAGTCTACCGTCAGGAATCTCTCCAAAGCACTAGGGAACAGAGATAACAGTTTTGAAGACTAAGGTGTGCCTGATTCAGGTCTGGTTTTCCCAATCACTTGCTATGCATTTGAGAACTGGACAGTAAATAAGAGTGACAGAATAAGAATTAATGCCTTTGGGTTGTGTTGCTGAAGATTATTGAATATCCTATTGACTGCCAAAAGAAAAAAATGTGGCCAGAATGCTTCTTGGAGTCAAGGATGGCAAAGTTTCATCTCACATGCTTTGGGTATGTTACCAGGAGAAGC